AGGGGATTGACTACAAAGTGCTGGAGCAGCTGATGCTGCTGAGGGTGCTGCAGCCATTCAGACAGCTTTATTCATTAGTAATTAGGCAGGCGTTGTCTGGCATCTAGATTAATCCCACTTTTAATTATTTTGAAACTGTGTGAGATTTCCCAGGCATTAAAGATTATGTACGCGCTTGCTGATTCCACAGCAATTATTCTCATGTAATGATGTCTATTAATACGCTTCTCAGCTTGCCATGCCCAGAGGGGAAATTCCCAGATTCCCCTCGTGGAGCACACATCTCCCGTGCGACACAACCCCACTATCCACCTGCTTACATTGTGCAAAATAATACCTTCCACACACTTCACCTAACATCGACAGCAGCAGAGAGCTGGTGCCACACCGAGTGCCAGGCATCGATTGCAAAGGGGGAGAGAGACCCCTCGAGGCTCCGCGTCCCCTCGCAGCTGCAGAGCAGCAGATCCTGCTGCGGGGAAGGGAGCGGAGACCCCCCTGGCAAAGCCAGCGCATGCTTCCTTCCCTGGGAAAGTGCTTCCAGGGCTCACACCCACCTGCAGCCCACACGAAGCAAAAGCAGCTCACATCAGCCGGGCCTTTTGAGAGCAAAAGGTTCAACATTTCCATCCCAGGTTGCACTAAATCATTTGACGTGAAATCAAAAGTTTAATTCAGCTCGTGGAGCATGTGAACTCATTACAGATTTCCTTCACAATTTACAGATAGTATTTAAAAGAAGAAGGTAATTTCAACAAGAAACAACAATAGAACTGTGAGCTGAGCACTTCAAAACAGAGCTGTTGTGAAATCTCACTTTTCATTTGGCCTAAATATCCCTTGAACTCAACCGTTTATGCTATAGCTCTCATCATTTACAAACTTCATTTACCAGAAAATTTACTATTGAGTGTTGGTGCCACTGGCCACTAAATTTATGCTGTGGAGCTGAGACCTTATTAGCAGAACAAAGGCTTGAGTGAATGTTGTACCAGGAGTTGTTTGCAGCCCTCTGCCCATGAATGCTCATCAGAAAATACATATATTAGACATAAATTTCTACAGTTTACATAGTTTATGTAGAGGTTTATGTCAACAACTGCTTGTGAACAGCCTTGCAAGTGAAAATCCTATTTGCAGTCATACCAGCGAAGATATAAATTCAGAAAGCTGAGAATACCAAAAGGCAGCAGTTGTATTGTTCTCTCTATAAATATTTTGATTGTTTTGCATATATATTGTTTCAGCATTCCATTGCTCCCAAAACAAAAAGTGATATAACCTCACCTGCCTGGCCTAATGCATCCTTGCAGAGTTAAACTGGATGACAAAGCTTCTGGGTAGAGACCAAGGGTAATTTGACTGATAGATCCTCTGGAAGCTTAGAGCCAAATTCGATTTCAGGTCTAAACTCGTCACTTCATCTCTAGAGATAGCAGAGCAGCGATATTAGCATGATGGCAGCGCAGTTGACTCTGAACTCAAGAAATGGATTAAATGAAATTACACTCTTCCCTGATGAGGCTGGTGGAACGGGGTGATTGCTTTAGGAAATCCAGAATTGAATTTCATAGGTAAGAGTTCAGATGTTGTGCTATTTGCTCAGGAAGGTTTCATGCAGTCAGTTGCTCCCCGCCACGCAGGAGCCGCGGGTGGCAGCAGGGTGGGAAGGACAGACGGTGTCAGCTGCCTCCAGAGCCCGGATCCCACCTGTGTTTGGGTGACAACTTCGCTTGCCACTGCTGCGTCCACCTTCGACCCTAGAGATCCCAACTCCCTCACCCCAGCTCTCCCAGTCCCACATACGGTGGGAAGGACCCTTCGCTCTTCTCCTCCCATGTGCTCCACCCCAGCAAGGTCCAACAATAACAATCCCATCTCCAGCTCCACCCAAACACTTTAAAGACAGGGAGATTTTTAGTTGGAGAATATTTCTCCTGCAGAAGACATTTCCTTAAAGATGACCTCTCCAGCTAGAGCTGCTCTCTGCCCCTCCCAGGGACCACGTGGGCCAGCCTGGCAGCCCAGGTCCTCAGCTGCAGGTTTGCATTAGTTTGACAGGTTCCCTCAATTATCTGGTATTTCTGGCTGAAATTTAAGAGAGGAGATGTATCAGTTTTTCTTCTCCTTTCCTCAGTGATTTCATGAGCTGAAACAGCAATTGAACTCATATCTGTCAGCTCTTACTCGCAGCTCTGCTAATTTTGGATAATCTGCGAATTTTCGAAATTGCGCAAAAAAGCCCATTAGTTCACTTTTACTCAAAAATGACATAATTGGAAGCAAGCACGTATTACAGCACACTAAAATATATCACACGTTGCATAAAGAGGTTGCAAAGTTCATTGTCAAAAATCAGCTTAGAAGTTCACTTCCAAAAGCCCCCATGTACCACAGAATCACAGAATGGTTTGAGTTGGAAGGGGCCTTAAAGATCATCTTGTTCGAATCCCCTTCCACATACCAGGTACCTTTTAGGAAAGTTTTAGTCCTAAAGTACGAGCCCCAAATATGGCACTTCGCAAGGCCATGCTTTCAGAGCTGTCAACCTTCCAGTCTTTTAGAGGGCAAAAGGAACCAACCCATTCCTTTTAACATTCCGTGCTACACATCTCCATCTCCACACCAACTGCCCCAGGTGGATGCTGGCAGCACTGGTGTAGCAGACAACCCTATCTGGCAGAAACTTAAAGAGACATCTTGGTGCTCAGAGGAGTTTTCTAAACCTGTGTCCAGGCTTTTAAAAACTTACCAGAGGGTTTCACTGCTGTAGCTCCTCAGCGTCTGAAGTTTATCCATCCAAACACATTCCCCTTCTCCTGCAGCAACAGACTTCTCTCAGCTGTCAAAGCACTCCTCCCAAAAAGCAGCCCCAATTGCTTTTTCACCAGACGTCACTGTCAGGTGCTTTTTTAGTTGCAGTGAAGCATCTTGCATGACCTCTATCCCATTAGCAGCTCCACCAGCAGCTTTCTCAGTGCGCTAATAGACCTGTATATAATGCTGTGCCAGTCAAACGCAGACTTGCTGGCAGGTCCCTCCCCATGACTCAAAAAGCCTCACAGGGGTAAGATGCCCCTGCGGGTACTTGCAAGAAAAGAGGCACCTCTGTCCTCACAGGGGAATCTGACTAGGTCACAACAAGGTCTCCTACAGACACGCTCAGGTCTGACATGCTCAGGTCTATCACCCTGCTGCGAGCCCCGCAAGCCTGACCTTTCACAGCCACTGAGAAAAAACACGCCTCTGTCCACACTGTCAAAAAGCATCTTTCCTAGCATCTGGGGCATTACGTGCAATTCATTCTTACCTGCTTTTGCATCTAAGCCTGGTGTAGCTCTTTTGCGTTTTAAAATGTCGCCGGGGGGGATACAGCATGGTGTGCTGGGAGTCAGCATCTAGGCAGCATCCTCCAGAGCCAGCTGGAGCAAAACCAGAGAGCATCATGCAACGGAAAAAAAATAAAATCAAATGCATACACACACATACAGGTACACACACAGAAAGAATCGCTTAATACTGTAGACCATTGACAACTGTATCTTAAATCACCAGAAACCACAGTTTGTTTTTCTGAGGACTGTGCAGAAATGCAGCCAAAACCTCTGCAGTAACTCCTGAACCAGAGAAAGTTCAAAGTGGCTTTACTCTTGAAAGCTGCAGTTTAAATATGCTTCAAAAAAGCTGTGATTTTAAACTCATATACCTCCTGTCAACTGTTACTTCATTTGTGTTGAAATTACTCTTCATTCTGAACTGGGTAATTCCCAACACATAGTCAGAAAAAGAAATAATCACATGAAAATCAGAAGACTGTAGTTAAATTTTATTTATCAGTTCTATTGTTAAATTACACAATCAAAGTCAGTGGATTGGCCTGTAAATCTACACAATAAGACAGCGTCTACAGTGGAAATCAGTAGAATTTGATATGGTTATGACAAAATGGTATCCTTATATTCGTACGTCCCCTATATACAATAAACAGTATACACAAAGAAAATGCAACTAGTCTCTGTAAACCATGCACACCACAGCATAAAAACAAAATGCACCTTCTGCAACAGGCCCTCCAGCTCACCCACAGTTAAGTCCTGTTTACAGCAGTGCCTTTCAGTTTTAAGAGTGAATTATCTTCCCCCATAAAAATCAAAATACAACCGAGACATCATATTGGCAACTGCAGTTCTCATTAAAAAAAACCAACCCACATTGCTGTACATGAAGTTATTCTCTTTTCCAAGCTGCTAACGCAGGGTATTGGTTTGCTGCTGCTTTGCTCTCTGCTCGCCCCTGGCAGGTTGCTGCCCCCCGGGCTGCAATATAACATCAGATGTGAAACAACTTTCAGATAACTTAGGCATGGAGCCGTAAGATGTTTCTAAAGCCTTCTGCCTCGTTTTATGTGTCCCCTCCCGCCCTCTGGGTGTACAGAACATTACAGGCAAAAGGCAATAGTGCAAGTGAGCCTGGTAAGCATCGTGTCCCTCGGGACAAAGAGCATCCTTTTCAGGTGCCTCGGCCGCTGCGCACCTGCACCGAGATCACCGGATTAGTGCAAAGCTCAGGAGCGTTGCAGGCTACGTACAAAATTGCTGAACTTGCTGAATGTATAGCCCAAGCCTTGCAGAGGTTTTTTATTTTTTTTTTTGCATAGAGATTTATAGGAGCCCCTCGCACCTCCTGCCCCGTCTCCCCTCCCCGTCAGTCTTGGTGAGGCTGAAGTCGGAGCCGGGTCCAGCTCTGCACCCTGCGCCCCAGCAAAGTCTGCTCGGGAGCGTCGCCGTGCACCCTTCTCATCCCGTGTAACTATGGCTATGGTAAAACTGGTTTCCATCATCGCTCATCTGTCATCGCTAAGAAGGGCTCAAGAGCATAGAAAAAAAAAAAAGCCCTGTTCTTATCTGGTGTAGCAAAGATTTACTGGAAGTAAATCCTAAATCAAGCGTAAATCTACTTCTTTCATTGAGCAATTCTCTTTGTAATATTGCTGGGATTAGAGAGATGTATGACTTTTTAAAGACATTACACAAATATCCATAACATAATTTCATCTAGTTTATACCACCAATTATTAAGGAATGATAAATTCAGCATTATGTATTCTAGTGGGTAAGAAAGACTTAAAATTAGACACTGTCACAGGACTAAAATTTGGAAAAGGCTTTATGAAACATGAAGATGTGCTGTAACTTTTCCAGAATGGTTAAAATCATACTGCCCTGAAAAATTCTGGAAACAGTGTCTTTAACATTGGCATCGAGTTCAGAAAAGTATGCATGTGTTGGTTTTTTTCCTTTTTTTTTTTTTAAATATGAGATAGACCAAGCATAAAACTCTAAACAGCAGTAGGTAGAAAAAGTTTAAAATTTTAAGTATTTATGTAACTAGAGAAATTACTTCTATTCCTTTTAAAAGCCAATATTATACATAAAACTAGTCAATATTTTTTCTAGACCTTTATTGTTCCCTTCATTGTCCATTCATTAACTTGGTAAATATCATAAGCAGTTGGTGCCCTTGAAAACACATTAGTAAAATGAAATTAAGATAAAATCAAAGGGAAAAGGTTTTGCTCATATACTGTATTGTGAGAGTATGGTAAATGCTCATTATTAGGAAATGAGTTTGCTTCCCAGATAGATTTCAGCCGAACATCATAAACGTTTTCCAGCATCCCATTTTGTACTCATAACTAATTTACGGAGTTGTTTTTTTTTCTTTTCTTTTAAATAAACGTCCAAGCAATCATTTCCGATGAGCCTACTTGGCTCCCATATTTCATAAATAATCCAACAAACCTAAAAAGGACAATTTAATTACACGCTAAGATTAAGTGTTCCACGTACAGTACAACATTTACTGCAAAGGCAACTGCAAAGGCAACATTTTAACCTCTTTGCGCTTCAAACCCTCGAGAAGCGTAATTCGTCTGGACTGCTCCGTCGCCTCCGATTTGCGGGTTGGGTTCTGCTTCGCTTTCGGTGTCCGGCGAGTCCCCCCCTCCCACCGCCACTACCGCCGCCACCGCTCCACGTTCGCCATGTAGTCAGTGCTGGAGCTGTTCTCGCCCTGCTCTCTCAGGCGCGCCTGCTTCGCCCTCAGCATCTTGCGCTGCTCCTGGCGTTTCCGCCGTGCTTCCTGGTGCTCCTTCTGCCGCATGTACTGGTACCGCTGCAAAAACAGGTCTTTTGCATAATCGTACAACTCCATGTCTAAAAAATTGAGGGCCTCGATGCGCTGCTGAGTCTGCTCGTCTATCTCCACGCTGGAGGCCCTTGTGCTATTGTACTGCGTGAACGGCGAGATGAAGTTCATGTTGAAAGTCTTCTCAAAGAGATACTGAGTCTTCCGCTGGAACTCGGTCAGGCCGAAGAAGGCCATCCGCTTCAGGTTCTCCTTGGCACTGTCCAGCAGAACCTTATTTCTCTGCTCCTCAGGCATGACCGACAGGTTGTAGCATCCCACCAGGCTGAGGTCGGACAGCATACGGACCTGGCGGTTGTTGGCGAGGTTGTAGGGGCAATCCATGAACTCCTGCAGGGAACAGCCCGACCAGTCGTCCCCCGTGTAGCAGCTGGGCAGCTCCTCGGTGGTTGGGGACCGCCCGTCGCAGACATGCAGGGACGCCTTCCACGTGGCTCCTCGCTGGACGTGGCGCCATTCGCTCAGGTAGCGGGAGACGGGGTCACGCAGGATGGTGATATAGTAGAAATTCCTGCCAAGGGGAAAGGAAGGCAGAGCGTTTAGTCCTGTGTGTCTCCAGCACACTGCGCATTAACGTTCAAAATCAATAGCAACTTGGAGATGCACTTTCAGAAGCTTTCAGCAGCCCTGCTGCAGAGCGCTCCTCTGCCTGCTCACCTCTGCAGGGTGAAGGACGGCTGAACAAACTCCTCACGAGCAGCGGGAAGGGTTCTATCTACCTCCACACATCTGTCTCTGCCTAATGGGTTTTGACTCTGCAGAGGCAGAAAGAAACCCAAGATTTCCCTCCATGCTGGGCTGCCCACGTGGCAACACGCTCCTGGCTTGATGCCTCAACTGATGCTCTCCCCAGACCTTGGGAGAATAACCAAAATATTTCCTGGAATGTAAGTCCTAACCCAAGCAGGGCATGAGTAACTCTGACTTTTTTACTGTCCCTATACAACAGAGCTGCACTGACAAGTTTATGAAGTCTACAAAAACCTACTCATGCTATGAGGTATGAGCATTTTCAGCGAGCAGCCATAGGTCTCAGCTGCATGAGCCCCAGAGCAGCATTACACCTATGAGGAAGACATTTCCTATAGAACATTTTCTTTTGCAGGCCAGATAAATGGGATGTGCCTGGAAGCCCCAATCCACTTGCACCAAAATGATGATCTTGGAAAAGCCCAACAAAATCCCATTTTATCCTCCTACCTTCACCTGATACAGGACTGTAACAATGAGAGAATGAGTGAGTAACAGGAAATTAAAGGATGCATTACAGCATTTTGTAAAAGAAAACGTCTCCAGGGGAGCTTCTGGCTTTGGTTTGAAGCAACAGGGTGGTGGCACTCATGAGGGACAGGCTGCTGTAGGGAACCCCATCATGCCACCAGCTGGAAAAGCTGCAAGCTCAACATTACACAGAGCGTTAAGAGATCACTCTGGGTTGCACATTAATATCCACTGTCAAACATCACGTTGTCCACTGTTGGCAGGCTGAAGCCACACACACTGAGCTCTTCACACCTCCTTTACTAGGACCACACCCTCAGCAATGATCCTGGAGGTACACTGTCAGGATATCAGCCAGCTGCTTAAGTACATGGAATTAAAGTAGCTCAGGAGGAAAACTGTCCTGCCACGGAAGGCAGGACACTCACCCCTCCAGGATGAGTAGACCAAGGAGTGTGTGTCCAGGAGCCCCGAGCCCTCAGGGTGTGATTGGCACGTTCTCGGTGCTGCGTATGGAGGAGAACGGACATTGATTTGCTTTCCTGACTGGCATCACAACTGATCACCCCACAGCCAATCTTTTGTTCCCTACCATTTCCTTCAGCAGAAAAGCCACTAGATGTCAATGTTTTACAGAAAATTGTCTACGGGTGGACTAAAAAGTGAATCACAAGCATGAAAAGCATCCAACAGCACAGGGAGAGCAAACCTGGAGAGTTGCCACTCCTCTTCCCACTTAGAGCATCCAAGCTCATAAATAATGAAGTAAGTATAAAGTACAATAAACTTGCAAAACCAAATAGAGCCATGGAACCCAGTACTGCATCAGCAGCCGGACACAACGGCACCTCACACTTGGAGAGCCGCGACACCGCAAACGCCACAATCACCAACTCCACGCTGCTGCCACCCCCCTGGCTCTGGCCACAGACTCTCACAGGCAAAGGGAGCCAAAGCCCCGGACGCAACCCTGAAGAAGGTCCTTTTTCCAAAATATGTCATTAAACAATTTTACAGTGAGAACCGGAGTTAAGAGGGAGCAAGGACAAAGCTCACTTTCATGTTGTGCACCCGGAGCGACAGCTGCCAGCCTCGTATCGTCCCTTGCAAAGATCGAAAGCGCCTCTCTCTGTCTCATCTCAGCAGGTCTCTGGCAGCACTGGAGAACCCAGCCTGGGAAAGGGCTTTCCATGAGCCCTGTCGCCCCAACCTGATGAGCAGGAGCTGACCTTGGTCACAGTTGTGCAGCTGCCTCCTTTGACGCAGCAACAACAGAGCCTTGCCAGGGTCTCCAACACAGGGAAAGGGAGCATCTCTGGAACAAACTCAAGTCTCTTTTTTTTTAAAGTCCTGCTAGGACTCCTCACCTTTGGATCTTGTTTACTGGGATCCTGCACTACAATAATATCTCAATCCTCAAGCAATAACAATTTAGTGCCATATAGCACTAACTGCTGTACTAATTATGGCAAGTAACATACAGCAACAATACTCTGACGACTGAAGAGGCAAAAGCAAAGCTCTTCTTATCCCAGAGCACCCTGTACACCCTGGTCCCTCAGCAGTTTGGTGAGGCTGGGAGAGGAGTCGGGTGCAGGCACAGGGGGCTGCTGGCTGAGGGAGAAGGCTGACCAAACTACGTTTTGAGGTCATCACAGAAATCAGCGGGGGTTAATGCAAGAAGGGAAACATATATTGAGCAAGGATCGATACAGAGAGCATTTTATGATAGCTCAAACTCCTCAGCCACTCTCCCTTTGTGCTCTTTGGTCACAAGTGGTGACAAAGCGCCTCCTCTGGCTGCTGTTGTAAAAACAAAAAAATGCATGAAAACTTGTATGCTGGCGGAAGAAACTGCATCGTAACAAATCACCGTCATCCTGGGTGGCTAGTGGCCTCATCCGTGCAGATATCTCCACCAGTGCCTGTCAGGGGAAAATGCCACAGTTGAGGGAGAGGACACTGAGTAAAGATGCTCTCTGGGCTCTATAGGGAGCGTGGAAGCGTCCAAGCTCCCTCCAGCACCCTGTGCTCAGGAAGCGAGGCCATCGGCAGGGATGCTTATGGGATGCCCCAGCTGGAGCCCATATATGTATGACCTAGCCTGAGCACGACTCCCTGCAAACAGGCTCACGGCAGTTATTTATACCACGTCATTATCTCCCAGATGAATCCTACTTTCAAGACTTACAGAGAGGTGCTTTGTCAGCTGCTGGGCTGATCTCAGTAATTTCATGCATTTCTCCCCTTCTTAAGTTTCCCTGTTAAAATCCTACTGAAAAAGGCACCATCCCTTTTGGGAACACCAGCTTTTGGGGTTTGCCTCAAGCCACTCTCATCCAAGTTAGAAATCACGGTAGCTCCAGAGAAGCAGCTGCACTGTTCTATGTTTATCTGAACTAAGCTTCAAAAAAGTCACAAAAGCTTTGATGCATTGTCAAGTCAGAGCTGTGCCAGAGATGGATTCGGCCATCAGCGCTTAGAGCATCCTTCTGCTGCAACTGTGAGGAAAACTCAAAGCTTTGCAATTATTTTTAGCTCTGTACGTAACAGCTTGTTCTTTCTGCGATCTTAACAAGAGGGTGCTGAGCTCTTGCCCATCCTTGAAGCTTGTGCTTCAGAGCCTGAGATAATATGTTTGCAGGTAGAACTCAAGTTTTACTGTGAATCATCCCTCCAACTTAAAGAGCTGCACTCATCAGAAACAGAGGTTTTCTAATAAAGATGAGCTGGATGCCTACGAAGCAGAGAAGAAAAAGGAGCTCGCGGTTAGCTCAGAAAGCAGGCTGACCCCAGAGCCATCAGGAACGCGAGACTGTGTGACAGTCACTTGATCTTGGTATCAACCTGTGCGCAGCTATTCCCTGAGGAACACAGGGACTGAACAGTCCCACGATGTTGAGTCTGTTCCTCATGTTTCATCACCTGCTTTGCTTATCACATCACTGCAAGGTTGAAGCCAGAGCATTTTTGGGAGCTCTGAATTATTTGTGCGCGATCCATTACCACCGAGAAACTCAGGAAAGGTCAGAAGCTCCCCTCAGATAAATGCTCAGAAACAGCTCATGTTGTCTGCTGGGGTGTGAAAGCTGGGCTTTCTTGGTGCTTTAATGCTTCTACCCATGGGTGGGACAAGAAAAACAGGAAAATGGCAGAGACAGGTGAGGTGACTTGCTGGAAGCCACGGGTGGAGACAGATATGCAAATCCAGCCCTCACACCACACCCTCCCAGCACGGCAGCCACCACGCCGGCCCGGCATCACTGCGGTGCCATGAAAGCCACATTTCACCCATGGGCCAGAACCACAGCTCCCTCTGACTGGCCCAGCATGGGCACCACCTCTGGGGTGCTGCTGCTCCATGTGAATGCCCTGTGGCCAGTCCCAGGGCACTTCAATAACCTGTGTGGTCATGAAGACGCTTCACCCTCTTCCTCCTGTGCAAATGCTGCTACCCCATGTCAGCAGAGCCCATACAGGAGCAATGCATGCCGGGTTGAGGGGACAGCACAAGCCCCTGGCTGGCAGTTTTGCTATGAGATGACTTCTGCAAAGATAAGATGGTTTTTGTTGAAAAGCACCACGAAATGTGTGTTTATCAGTGGACAGACCTGCTTTCAGCTCTCCGGCTCCTTAGCCCAGAGTAGTTCCCTCTCTCCTTCCTGCATAGCCTCTGGAGAAAATACAAAGCGAACTGAAACCTCAAAGACCTCCGTGCATTTCTCTGAGGGGTTTATTGAGACTGAGTCATCTGCTCGCTTTGAAGGATAATTCTGTGGTCACACAGTGCATCTGTGCCAGCCCCATCCCCACCTCTGCCCAGAACAGGGGCTGAATGAGAGCCCTTTTTCCAACCTAACGATTTTTTTTAAAAGCATCTTTGTAGCAAGCTTCTAAAAGCAACGTTAAAGAAAAAAACCCCAATAATAATTGAAGTCAAAGAGAGGAGGTGTGAAACCCCAGGGGATGAAAGCACTGAGTAAAGCCAGAGGTTTCTGAGGCCGGAGAATCTGCCAGGGAAGGGATATGCAGCTACCCACGCCACGGGGCTCAGGGGGCTCATCTCGTGCAGAGCTGCTCTGCTGAAATGAGATGAGGAAGGGGTACTTAAGCATCAAAATGGGTCGGAACCTCCCAAAGTAAGAGTACATCTCAGCTCATCCAGCTGCCTCGGCTGTGCAAAGGACTGCAAAGCACCAACATTTAGGTGATGCGGACAGAAAAGGTTATGGCCAACCCTGTAGAAGGAGTGTGTGGGGAAAGCTCACAGCTCACTTCGCTCTTCCTTGGCCATGCTGCAAGACCCCCTGGCAAAAGGGACCATCGGCAGCTGAGCATCCAT